GTTGATCCTTGATATTATAATCAAAATCAAATCCATTTGTTGCCATCAACATTATAAATACGTGTATAGCAACGTCATACAGTTTTTATCACAGTATATCCATTACACAATATACCTACTTAATGTGTGGAGAAAAGAGTTTTGTCTGGTAAAATGGTTATGAACCGAATCATTTGTAGGGAACTCTCTAATATTAGTTTTAATATACAGTAAACAGTTTTAAATGTACAGAGAAGTGACGGTTAAAATTCCAAGTTTCTTAAATAATGGCTTACAATGTGTTTCACTGTCAACATTGAATATTGCTCTAACAGCTTTCTTTTGCAACAGTTGCAGCTTTTTAATACTACCAGAATGACCTCACACAACAATACTATAAGACAAATGACTTTGAATGTGAGCAAAATAAATGGATTTCAACACATCTATACTAACAAAAGGTCTTAGTTTTCTAATCATAAATGTACCATTGGAAACTTTTTTACAAATCATATCAATCTGAGAATCCCACTTAATGTTAGGCTGTACTAATACTCCCAAAAACTTAACACTATCTGAACAGGTACTTGATAAACTAAATTCAATATTCTGTGTTTTGCTACTGCTTATACACAATGAATTGGCAGCAGTCCAGTCCTCGATTACAGAGTTGGTAGTATGTAGAAGATTTTTAATTAAGGAAGAACATTTACAATTTATCTGGACAGCTGACATAGATAAAATATCCCGTATACAAGGCAAAGTAATATTGATTTAATACAACTCTATTGAATGTTATTGGTATATTAAAAAATGTGTGTAAACCACAGACTTTTTGTGACTTAAATAGTGCAACATTTAATAGAATAGTTTATATAGGCCCTGCGGTTAATGTTTAAATAGTATAGGCATACAATTATCATTATTTTCTAGTTTTCCTATGTAATTTACTGGTTTTTTATAGATAATATTACCGCTACAGACAAATGTTGAAGTATCAGAAATAAACTAAATACAATATCCGTCACAAATTCAATAGATTTGTTATATTAATTCTTTGCTTTTAACTGTGTTTTAAAGTACCCAGAGCCTAAGGCATAACTAGCAATTAAGGACTTGAAACATAACGTGTTGATAAAAATAAATAACCTGTTAGGTTAAAGCTATTATGACTTCCATTCTAAAATCTAGTGACTAAGGGTTCAGTTAATTTGCTATTACTATCTTCAAAGAGCTGCAACCCTCAATGACTACAAGAGTTTTTAAGTGGTGTTCTAGTTTCCAACTAAAGACGTTAAAAATATTTTCTGAAAATTGTACGACCCTTTTTAAAAAATTTTATGGTCTATGAAATAGTAAATAAAAACTGAAACTCAAAATTAATTTTTTACTAACAGTTACAAGCCAGTAAAGGTTTTACATTCAAAACTCAAAATTAAAAATGCTTTAAGGATGTCGTTTAACGCTTAAACCACATTTAAAATATCAATTCTCAAACAATCAGTTCTTTGGGAATCATGGGTAAAGCAACTAGAGATAAAAACCACTTTGAAAAGCGATATGAAAATTAATCTTTGCAATTGAGTTGTGTTAACATTGACACTTAAATTTCAATTGGTTGATGGATAACACTTGCTAAACTTATCTTACGATGACTATCATATCCGTTGATAGGTTTTACCCAAGATGTATGGGTTTAGCTTCACTTTTACTCCATACATCTGGGTTTTACCCAGTCTCGCACAGCATTGTAAATTAAACTTGCATGTGATACAACATGTTAAAACTGGTGTTGCATTATTTTTTATATTTTGGGAGTTGTGTTAGCGACTTGTTTCATTACGAAGTAGTAAAGTCATTTCTTAGTGTTACAAAATATTGAACAAAACTTCTCAATATACAAGTATACACGCTTTGATATTCAAAGCAGAAAGTAACACAGGCATTTCATTGAACGTTCCATCCTAAATATTTAAGTATTGGTAAAAGCCAAACAATGCTTTTGATCGCAAAATATCAGAAATATCAGTTACCGATAGAATATACCTCTTTTATAAATCATTTATAAAAAGGTTTAAACATAATCGTAACTTTAAACCAAAGAAAAGGTAGCTTTTTACATTAGCTTCATTGTAAATTTAAGTTTTAAACTTATCTCGTACGGATCAATTTTTTTTAGTATTCAGGCTAGTGAACAAATATATATTAAAACTAGCTGTAACCCGCGGGCTTTGCCCCGTTTAACTTCTTAATTTTCAAGATGATCTCGTTCGCATGGCTCAATCACGTCCTGGTTGAAGTTCGTTCGCTACGCTCACTCACCTTTAGGTTGGAGCTCGTTCGCTACGCTCACTCACCTTTTGGTTGCAAATTAGCTGTTGTCATAAATGTAAAAGAAATAATAGTGCTGCACCCTGTTGGTAATCCTTGTAACTTTAATGCTATTGAACATCATAGAACAGAACCAACTTGTTTAATTGAAACAGCTGTTAAGATTCATTAATTCCATTTCTCATAAGGTTAACATGGGAAACTCCAGAGCCACTGGGGCGGAGCCTATTGGACGGATCACGAAATTGATGGTGTATAAACCTATTCCATGAAATTCTACACGTATGTACCAAGTTTCGTGGCAATCGGTTGAGCGGTGTCTGAGTTTATCACTGCCAAACAAACAAATATATATATATATATATACAAACATCCTCTTTTATACTTATAGATTACCCTAAGCTTATGTGTCATAATGAATGACACACAAGAAAGTGAGTTTAAAATAAGGCAAAACTTATAAATGCAAATAATGGAAATATGCCAGTACTTAGGTGTTACATAATATTGCCTTCTAATGCCTAATGCATACTGCCTTCTTAAGCCATGCTCAACTCCAAGTTAACTCAACTAAAGTCTAAAATAATTCTTTCTCAAAAGAAAATATCTTCATCCAGTTGGTGTTAACTATCACCTGATAGCTGTAATTTCTTTTTTTCTATTTGTTTGCTGTTTCTGGCTTACAAAGTTGATATCCCAATCGTACAGGCACCCGAAGCAGTGACTAGACCATCTAGAGTTCGCACCACACACTGAAGTAAGCCAGCTTTCGAACATATCTCGATCCTTGTTCAGTTTTAGAAACTTTTTATAGACCTGGCCAGCCTGTAAAAATACTGTTACACATGTCATTATCTAAAGAAACCCGCGAATGATTAAATAGAATTATATCAATGTATTATTTTTGTATTAGTCAATAAAACATCAAAATACCATAAACACACATTTTGGTCTCTGACGTTATTCCACATTTCTTAAGTTTTAGTCACACATATGAGAATCTTTGGTTGAAGTTAATTTTTGGTAACTAGTGGTAACACTAATAGATTTTTGTGAGTATATTGAATTATGAAAACTCTTATTGTTTCTGTTATTGGATATTGTTTTAATTTCTCTTATACTACTGGTCTGTTCTTGTAATGTTTTAATAATTTCTCACCAGAGGATTAAATCAGATTTCAGATCCCGAAACGTTGTTTAAAAACTTTCTTTTACTTATTGTGATGGAAAGTTACCTCAACAATCTATTAGCTATGTGGTTATTACATTATTCTTCTACATCATTCTTGTACACTAATCGACTTGGATTTAAATCTTCTTACATCTGATGGGACAAGTTGATGTTCTCTAACAACATTTTTGTTTAATAAATAAGATTGATTGATAGATCATAACAATTGGTCATCACGATACACCCCTTAGTTTTATTTTAGTAACTAAATGCATATATTAAGTAATATAGAACAAACATACTCCCTTGAATAGTACTTTATGTGTGTCCTTAGACATTATAATTAAACTGATCATTATTTTTTGTCATAGTGATGTTCATAAATATTCTTGTGGCACCAGCACATCCTTTGATAACGAATATTATCTAAGAAGCCACAATCACTCATCCAGTGGCCACCGCGGTGCTATTTATATCGGTTTGGGGAGAATAAACTATCATTGTAGAAGTAAAACCTGTGGTGTAGGCAACACAGAACTTCAAAGGCTATAGAGTAAGTAGACATATAGAAAGTAAATTTCCTAAAACATTTATTGGTCTTTTTATTTTTGAAATTGTATGTATTTTCTTAACGAAATGTACATATTATTTTAAATTAGTTTGTTATATTATTAATACTTAATGATTCTAGTCCACAAATAAAAGCCTAGCCTAAATACTCCCGCTACAGTAAACCTGCAGACTATGCGAATTTCCATTTACCTGGCTAGATTTACTCTATAATATTCTATAAAATTTTTCAAAAATGTAATTTTTTAATGATTATACAAAACATACTAATTTTAATTTTTGTCATTACTGTCATTGTGTAGAGCTTTAAAAACTAATTAATCTGCATACTGAAGCAGATTGATGTAGTATTAAAGGTTACGGGGAGTATTCCTACTTTTCATGCATTCAATAACATTCAAAATTCCCATTATATTTATATAGGGGGAAAGTAAACGCTTTTAGTTTGTTTTTATATTGAAATGCTTTGATTAAATTCGGCAAACTTATTTATTTTATAGTATACGATTAACTTAAAAAAAAACACACATAAATTTTTCCTCACCTGTAAGATCGGTACTCGTTAACCCAATGTTATTTGAAAATGAAATAGATAAGCTATGTTTATGAAAATATTTTTGTGAAAATCTAATTAAGCGATTGGAAATCCTCTTAGTCTGCAGGTTAGTTACGGCCGGGGTGTCAATGCATCCGTTTAATAATATTGCATATTTACCTCGCATAAGTCATGTGTTTATACCAAAAAAGAAACATAATGTTCCCACACATATTTGTTAAACATATTGTTAAACATATTTGTTTAATGTTATTGCAGCTTTGAATATTTACCGTGAAGTAACCATGCTGATTAAGCAAGGACATATTTCCTAATAGGCGGACTAGAGCGGCAAATTTTAGGGGCTAAAAAATTAAAAAGGCATGGTTTAATCTTTAACTATCAATGGTTTAGTCCAAAAAATACCTAAAAATATCTAAATAATGATATTTTTAGATAAATCTAAATAAAATTCGATGGGTAGAGTTGGCAGATACATCAAGTCAGCAAGTAGTCTGTCCGCGTCGGTTTCGCCGATTCCTGCCAATTCAGTTACAGGTTTATTTTCCATATTGCAATCCAAGGAATTGTTGTCCTGAAATTTCAAATTTCATTACCTTTCCAAAAAACAACAGAAACAAAGATTTAAATTATATTATAATAAGATCTGACTGTCTATATTATTTATAAGTAAGCGAATGATGAAAAGCATAAAGATCTTTGATATTTTCTTTCTTGGTGGCTTTAATTTTAACGTTGGCCTTTTGTTGGCCTTTTTGATGGCTGCATTTGTTTTATTGCTTTCCTAAAACCAGTCCTATGATTTTTTACTAAGTGAATCTTACCATTACAAATTTTTCTATCCTCTAGTCTTTCCCCAAAGACCCTTACAGTTGGCATCTTTTTTGTGAAGTAGTTTTTTTTTTATTTAACATAGTTCAGAGTAGAAATTAAAATTGTGTTTACAACTAATCATTTGGAAAAGAATAGATACTAATGATAAACAATATTTGTATGTATGGAATATTCCTCGTTCATTCACATACGCATTATAATTAGACTGTTATTATTCATTTCAAAATGGCTGCTCTTCATGTGAAAGATTTTTTACTATTTTATATACCCTATATTTTTTTATATAAATATCTCTACTCTTTATTTTGTATTTTGTATTTTATAAGGGTTTATGTTTTTTGAAAACATACTTACCAATGAATATTGCACGTCCCGTCTCACAGGAACCTCAAGCAACTTAGGACGAGTTGCCAACGAGTTTTCTTCATTTTTGTGTGAATGAAACAAATTGTTACAAGAAAGACTTTCTTTCTCTGCATTTGTTTTGACACTAGCTATTTTTGTATGGGTCACTCTGTTTTCTGTATTTTGTGTAATTGTCCCCTGGTTCTTAGTGTCTAATAGCTGCAATTTCTTTGTTATAGTTTGTTGCTGTTGCTGGACTAGGACTTCAAATGTGATATCCCAATCGCGCAGACACTGGAAGCATTCTCTAGACCATCTAGAATTTGCACCACACACTGAAGTAAGCCAGCTTTTGAACATATCTTGATCCTTGTTCAGTTCTAGAAACTTTTTATAAACCTGGGCAGCCTGTAAAACACAAGTATTTCGTTATCTAAAGAAAACGGTAGATGAAGTGTGGAGTGAAATCATAGTTTTTCATAGGTCAATAAAACCTCAAAATACAATAAACGTTTGAAGTTATGATACACTGTCAATTACTGGTTTTGCCATTAATGCACTTTTCTTGAACTCTTTGGTTGAAATGAATTTTTGGCAACAGTGAGTTTCCAATATCCAACAAATTCTTACGGAAATGCTCCATCATGATCTTATATTGTTTTATTTAATGGATATTATTTTAATTTCTCTTAGTGGCGAACTACCGGTTTTACCCCACTTGGGGCACGTTTTCCCATAAGAAATAACATGGGATCATTTTTTGGCCACTAAAACCAAAAATCCTGATCTTTGCCTAAATATCCCTATATAATTGTCAAACCTTATTTCTTACTTATTCCCCATTAATATATTCGATATTAAGCTAAAAAAGCTATTTCTTATATTTATTGACCCTTACAAGTGTAAATGTAGAGTAGTGACAATAGAAGAAAGAGCCATCACTTGGGGCGTTTTTCCCCATAAGAATAACATGGTGAGCTTTTTTTAGCCACTAATTCCAAAAATCCTGCTCTCGACCTATACAAGCCTATATTAATGTTCAATACCATTGTATAACTTCATTACTATTTCAAATCCACATGCATTCAGATGTATATTCTCAAAATCATCAACTTGACAGTGCGAGGTTTGTACGCGAACTCGGGCGCGCTCCCGGCTCATGGCGCGCTCCTGGTCGTGCTCCCGACCTACGGTCAGGCTTCTCGTCTCTACTGGTCTAGTCCTGGGTGGTGACCTCCTGTTGAAGTAATTCTTAATTTCTAATCAAAATTTTTAAAATTTTCGAAAATTCTATAAATAGAAATGACATTCGGGTGTTATTTCATTCTGGACCATGAGGCCCACCTGTCAACACTGCTCCGTGTTGCTCTCCACCAAAAGTAACCTGATTCGCCACTACAAGGTAATTCATCAAATGAAGGTGAAACTGTGCAAGGTTTGCAATTTAATCTGTGATAATAATGTGGCTTTAAAATCACATATATTACAAAATCATAAGACTTGTAATTTCTGTAAAACGAATGTTGTTGGACATTTTAAAAGACACGCCAATTCTTGCATCAAATGTCCATATACAATGATTAAATTTGTCGGTGAATCGATTAGAGCTGACCTTAAAAATACTCTTCAGTCTTGTCCTCTTCCGATAAAATGGACGTTAGTTAGGAGAATCAAATTTATAAAATATTCAATGGATCAAAATGGAAAATTAGTCAATGAAAAAGAATGTATTGCAGATTTTAGAAGCCTTACTACCTTAACTATTGAGAAGAGAGATTTAAAGCCTCAAATTGAAAATGCACTTTTAAAGATTGACGCTTCCATACACAAATATCAAGCCCAAGGCAGTGGATGGATATATGACCATACTAAATATTGGCAGCTGCATGTTTACAAGTATAAGCCCCTAACTCCAAAGTCATATATCCCTACACCAAAAAGTATTCAATCAAAACATGCAGTTTTAAATATTAAAAATTCTGACAATAAATGCTTCCTTTGGTCGATTTTAGCAGCTTTACATCCAAGGAACTCTAATGAACATGCTGAAAGGGTTTCTAATTATGTACCCTATGAAAGTCAGTTGAATATGACAAACATAAAGTATCCTGTGAAAATATCTGATATAGATAAATTTGAAACACAGAATGATATAAGTATTAATGTATTTGGGGTTGAATATGATAAATTTATATATCCATTAAGAACAACCAAACTAAATAGTAATATTCATGTAGATCTATTGTTATTACAAGAAGGTCGTAAATCACATTACTGTTTAATTCGTAATTTTGATAAGTTAATGTTCCACTCTACAAAAGATGACCATAAGAAGCATTTTTGTAAGTGTTTGCAACATTTTTACACCAATGATATATTAGAACGTCATGCAACATATTGTAAAAACTTTGATTCCCAACGAGTGGAAATGTCTAAACAAGATACATTACAATTTAAAAACTATAAATATCAACTTTAAGTCCCATTTGTGATTTATGCAGATTTTGAATGCTTTATAAACTCTAACAACCATACTCCATCTGGATTTGCATTTGTTGTAGTGAAAGAGTCTAAGATTATTTCTGAAGAGTTGTACAGTGGTGAAAATGTTATGGATGTGTTTTTTAAAAGATTATTTGAGACTTATGATTATATTAAAAGCCAAATGGCGATATATATTCCCCTGGTAATGACTCCAGAGCAAGAGGCGTCTTTCCAAAACTCGACACATTGTCATATTTGTGAAAAGCCCCTATATTTTGATAGGGTGAAAGATCATTGCCATTCATCTGGCCAATACCGTGGAGCTGCCCACAATGATTGCAATTTAAACTATAAAGTAACAAAGAAAATCCCAGTATTCTTCCATAACTTGAAAAATTATGACGGACATTTAATAATGCAACACTTGGGAAAGTTTGCACAGTTTAATCGTAAATTAAATTGCATAGCCAAGGATATGGAAAAGTACATTTCATTCTCTATTGATGATTTAGTATTTTTAGATTCCTATAACTTTTTGTCCCTTTCATTATACAAATTAGCTTCCAATTTAAATACATTTAGATTTATAGACAATCCACTACTACAACGTAAAGGTGTATATCCCTATGAATATATGACGGGACCAGATAAGTTCGCAGAGTCTCTACCCCCAAAAGAAGCATTTTACAGTACTCTAACTAAAGAACATATCTCTCCCAATGAATATGAACATGCTAAAAATGTCTGGACCCATTTTAATGTAAATAATTTACAAGAATATCATGATTTATATCTTAAAACAGACGTATTGCTACTGGCTGATGTCTTTGAGACATTTAGAGACCTGTGTTTAAAAGATTACAAACTTGACCCCGTACATATGTATTCACTCCCTGGACTAACATGGGAGGCCTGTCTTAGAATGACCGGTATAAAGTTACAATTATTTCAAGATATTGACATGCATTTGTTCATAGAAAGTGCAATCAGAGGAGGAGTCAGTATGATTTCCACACGTTATGCTAAAGCCAATAATAGATATATGGGTGAACACTATGACCCCAATCAAGAAAGTGTGTATTTAATATATTTAGATTGTAACTCGCTATACTCCACAGCAATGTGTGAGCCACTACCTGTGGATGGATTTCGTTGGACTAATGAGATAGACTACAAATACAATCAAAATGATGAGTTTGGATACATTTTAGAAGTTGTTTTAAAATATGATAAAAGCTTACATGATTTACATAATGACTACCCATTAGCACCTGAGAAAATGAATAGCAAATTAATGCCAAATTTAAATGACAAAACTAAATATATTTTACATTATAAAGCATTACAAAAATATGAGGAATTGGGTTTGATTGTTACAAAATACCATAGAATTTTAAAATTTAGACAGTCTAAATGGCTTGCACCCTATATTAATTTTAATATTGAAAAACGCAAATGTGCTAAAACTGATTTCGAAAAAGACTTTTATAAATTGTTAAATAATAGTCTCTTTGGTCGAACAATCATGAATCAACGCAAGTTTCGTGATATATATCTCAAGGATGAGTCACTATTAACAAAATATGTCACTAATCCAAGGTTTGACTGTAGCAAAAAGTTTGATGACAATTTACATGCTATACATTTAAATAAATTAGTTGTAAAGTTTAATAAACCAATATATTTGGGAATGACCATTTTGGATATTAGTAAAGTAATAATGTATGATTTCCACTATAATTATATGTCAAAATTTAAGAATAAAAGATTTCTAATGACAGATACAGATTCATTAATGTATGCTATAGTTACAGAGGACTTTTACAAGGAAATAGAATGTGACGTACACTATTTTGATACCTCTGGATATAGTAAAGACCATTTCTTATACTCTGATAAAAATAAAAAAGTCACTGGAAAGTTTAAAGATGAATTAGGTGGTCATATTATGTATGAATATTGTGGTTTAAGACCAAAGTTATATTCTTACATTCCTCTAAAATGGTTATATGAAGAAGACAAGCAAGCTTTAGAGGTGAAGAAAGCTAAAGGAGCTGATGGTGCCACTGTTAAACATCTCCTCAGACATCAACATTATTTGAACTGCCTTGCAACTGGGCAAGACTACTATGAGAATGTGACAAGAATTAAATCTATAAATCATCATCTTCAAACCTTAACCATGCACAAGAAAGTACTATCCTTTGACGATGACAAGAGGTTTATTCTACAAGATGGCATCAACACTCTTGCCCTTGGTCATTATAAAATTGATAAAACATAAATTGTATGTGTAGATATATAATAAATACAAATGTTAAAAAACTCCAGTCTTTTATTTATTTACCCTTACCATCCTCTTGATAGAATTGGTCAAACATATATCTATATTTGCCATTATTCTTTGACCTTTCTTTGTCTATTACGAAAAAGCCATATTTAGTTTTATCCCAACATTGATGACAGAGATTTTTAAATTGGTCAAATGAAAAGTCATTACCAACATGATCGTGATATACATGTTTTAAATTTAAATCATCTTGTTTGAATAATATTAGGAAATTTACATTATCACGTAAATGTTTGTGTACTTTGCTGTAAGATTGACACAAGTAAAAACAGTTAATATTTTTATGTCGACCCATTGAGAAAAATTGTGTAATATTTGGACTATTTATGTCATCAAATACAACAACTGACTGTGATTTTACATCATTTGGTGTGATTTCACAGTCAGTAAACGTGTGTAATTTCACTTCATCACACAAACTAAATATTTCAATTATTTTTTTATATTTTTCTTGTTCTAAAGATTTAGATATTAAATATAAGTTTGTAAATTTTAATCCTTCCTTTCTTACAATTAAATTGTAAATTACAACCGTCTTCCCACTTCCACTTGGACCACAAATAACACATCGAAT